ATATATATATTAATATATATATATATATATATATATATATATATATATATATATATATATATAATATATATATAATATATATATATATATANATATAATATATATATATATATATATATATGTATATATATATATATATATATATATATGCGCATACTTGGTTCAGTATAGTTGCCCGGGCGAAATAATATAGAGCAGCGAGGAAACTCTGCGGTTGGCACATTGCGATATGATTTGCAGCATCACCTATTTGCGACATTATGAAGTTGCGTAATATCAAGCCTACCTTGCTTGACCCACATAGTACAGAAAATTGTGATCAGTTGACGAAACTAACTCAGAGATATTTCCCACATTCACAATACAGGCACGGGGCCAAGAATCTCTAAATAGCTTCGCCCGAAACTCATTTTCAATGGCTGAGCTTGACTTCTCATCATCAAAGGACGAATCAATCTCCTCCAGTATCCACGATTCTTCGGCTCTGTTCCAAACGGAGACAGACAGCATGGTTTTGGCGGCGAAAGTAGGGTATCAGCGCCTCGGAGTACGGAACATACCAACACGTAAGTGCAAGATTAAACCATTCAAGCTCTACATATCACCCACCCACATGTACGTACGAGATAGCACCATAACACTCTACGCATCACACACCCACTCATAAGTACAAGATTAAACCATTCAAGCTCTACATATCACCCACCCACATGTACGTACGAGATAGCTCCGTAACACTCTACACATCACGCACCCACATGTATCTTATCCACACTATCTCGTATGTATATGTATGTACATCATTACCGCCATGTTGGTGTCTCGTACGTCGCTTGTGGAGTTCTGACAGGCTCTGCAGTGGTGTGGTCGGTTACTGCGCTCGGCTGTTGGTGCGCCTCTGTATGACTGGTGGGTCGGTGAGAGTGTTGATAACCACCACCTACAAGTTTCCCACGTGTTCGTTGGTTTGTGAGTTTGCTTGTTTCCGTTTATTCGTTAGATGGTGTATTTGGTATTTGCGTAGTTCCCTATATACGTTAGAGAGTGTGAAGTGTATTTAAAGTTGGTGTACGGTTTCTCGCCAGTGGCCGGTGGATTACTCTCTCATCCGTGGTATACGTTTTATCTCTTATGGTACGTTTTCCCATTTTTCTTACGGATTATCGTTCTTTGCACGGCTATCAAATGGTATCTGTAGGTCTCGTATATGTAAAACGCTACATGATGTAAATCTGAGATGAGTATTCTATGAATAGGTGGACATACCCGATCTTATATAGTACCCACCATTAAAATGTAGTTTAGTCTCTAAACACTGCACTATACTTAACCACACAGAGGATAACGCTACACAGTTAGACGGCGTTATATCACAACAGCCGGAGATCATCAGAGATCAACGCGAACGCACGCAGCCACTACCCGAGAGTCCCCCCGCACGAAAGGCCCCGTTGAGAAGGTATGTACACACACACACAGAGACATTTATATA